CCTGTTGACACTAAATCCACTCTTTACTCTGCTTTGTGATTCTGGTGCTAGACCCTGTAGACATCCTTTTTCACCAGCTGGCATAATTTTAGGCTTTGTCCTCATACAATGTATCTGAGGGATGGAGAAATGTCCTCCTGACCAACAAAGGGATTACAGAAAGGAGACCAAGACTGGCCAGATAAAGTACAATAAGATCAAGCAGGGTTGGCCAGGCGTGGTGGCTAACTCCTCTAATCCCAGCACTTTGGGAGGCTGAGGCGGGTGGATCACCTGAGGTTAGGAGTTCAAGACCAGCCTGACCAACATGGAGAAACCCTACCTCTACTAAAAATACAAAATTAGCTGAACTTGGTGGTGCATGCCTGTAATCCCAGCTACTCGGGAAGCTGAGGCAGGAGAATCACCTGAACTCAGGAGGCAGAGGTTGTAGTAAGCCAAGATAGCGCAATTGCACTCCAGCCTAGGCAACAAGATCGAAAATCCATTTGAAAAAAAAAAAAAATGAAGCAGGGTCTTAAACTTCAGGCAGGAAAGGAATTTGTTCATGAACTGAAAGACAAATGGGAACTCTATTAGGGGCCGCTGAATGCAACTATGAGGCGTTCCAAGCCTTTTGCCTTCTGGTCTTCTCATCTCTGCCTCCTAATCCTCATCCTTGAGAGTCTGGACCTTCCTGACAGGTACTGATCCCTCGTCATGTTGTCCAAGATATTGTCACTCCCCTAAACACCCTCTTCCAGTCCTTCGTGCCTTGATAAATATCTATTTGTCCTTCAAAAGGCTCATCGAGCATCATTTTGGTGGTTTTCTCTGGTTCTCCTCCCTCCAGCTTAATAGCCTTCTCATTTATATTACTTCTATTCTATGCATCAATTTTAAATGGCCTTATTTAGTAGCTTTGTTCATCTTTTCTACTAGAATGAACTTCTTAATGGCTTTCATTCTCTCTTGTGTTGCCAAGGCCTAGCAGACTACCTAGAACAAAACAGATGAACTGAACTGATTTAGGCTGTACTGCGGATGTCACTGAAAGGAAGAATAGCACTGAGGGTGTCTCTAGAAGAAAGAATTGGGGTTTTTTTGTTTGTTTTTTTGTTTGTTTGTTTGTTTGTTTTTTGAGATGGAGCCTTACTCTGTCATCCAGGCTGGAGTGCAGTGACGCGATCTCAGCTCACTGCAACCTCCGCTTCCTGGGTACAAGCAGTTCCCTGCCTCAGTCCCCCAGGTAGCTGGGATTACAGGCGTGTGCCACCACACCTGGCTAATTTTTGTATTTCTAGTAGAGACGGGGTTTCACCATCTTGGCCAGGCTAGTATTGATCTCCTAATCTCATGATCCGCTGACATCAGTCTCCCAAAGTGCTAGGATTACAGGCGTGAGTCACCACGCCGACCAAGAATTGTGTATTTTTAGGGGATTAGAACACTCAGAAGTAGTGGGACATTATTGCTAGGGTTAAGATAGCATTTCAGTATTTCTGGTAGAGAGGATGTTGGCTGTCCACTGTCTATACCAGTAAATTTCCTCACCATAATATCTCTCTCTCTCTGTCTGTCTTCTCTCTCTTGCACACACGAGAGAGAACTATGACCTGCCGCGTAAACAGTGGGAGAATTAGGACCTACTGTGAATCGTCTGCCTGGGGCCCAACCTGTAACATCACAAGAAGAAAAACTCTGTACTTCCTCATGAGGTTCTTTTCAATGTCCATTTTAGTTCGAATGTCCTCATAACATAAAGGGAGGGGGAAGTTCAGAGATATATCATAGAATATTCATCACATTGCTGGCATTCTGAGAAGAATCAGGCTGGTTAAGTGACTCCCAGGCTGCTCTTACCTATCCAGAGCCTAGAGCATCTAGATTTTGATTGGACCATTGCCAGAACTCATTAGCATAGTGTACCCTGACCTGGAGTAGGGAACAGCGTCTGCTCAGAAAATGACCAGAGCCTGCTGGGACTTGAACCAGCAGTAAGATTTTCACGACACAGTTCTGTCTGCTTCTCCGTAAGAAGTTAGAAGGTAAGGAAGCCAGAAATCCCGTGGAGAGGCAAATGTAAGGGATGCGGCAACGACCACTCCATTCCTACAGGGTTTCATTTGTTCTAGTTCATTTTTCTGTAGAAATGATGAAAATTGAATATAGTTTGCGCAAGTCGCTTTTAAAAAAGTAGTCTTGACAAGTGTAGTTTTTCAGTCCTAGAAGAGGAAACAGAGTTTACTTAAGGGCTGTAAAATGGTTTTTTCTTCTTTCCTATGTTTTGTTCTTAACTTTTAGGGAAATATTAAATTAATGCTCCTTCGCTTAGCAAATGTTAATATCGGGAGAAAATCTAAAAAATAACATAGTTGTTCTGTAATGAAATTTTCTGTATTATTCTTCCCTTAATTTAAAAACAAAAGAGTTATGTCTATATTGCCTAGGCTTTATAGCAATGTTTTTGATTTTTGAAAATATGAATCTTATTTCCCAAGGTTTTTAAAAAGTAGATCTATTCTAATTAGTTATAACAAAATTTGCAGCATCAGAGACGATATCGTTACTGTTCGGGGTAAGTACATGGAACTGCTGCTTGATATCTGCTTCTTCTATACCTGTTATTTAAGTCCTTTGAATTAGAATCAGTTTGCGGCAATATTTCTTCAGTAACACAGTGTTTGTTTCCTAAACATAGAATTTTACTTAAAATCCATGAGGATTTAGTCTTGAAAATCAACATTCAGTTGGGGAACAGAAACTTCATGCTCTGCAACCACTAGGTTGTAGCTCAGTACGGGTATGTGGAACAGAAAGGAAGAGACTCTGATTAGCTTGTCATTTAATGGTCAAGAATTTCATTTATAAAGACTGTACTTTCAAGGATCATTTCTATAGTTTGTTACTAGAGAAATTTCTCTGGACATCTAGAGCACACACGTAAAAGAAAAAAAAAAGGACTTCATTCTTATGTTCAGGTCAACAGTCTTCTATATACATACACTTTCCCTTGGTAGAGTTCAGTGATTGACAAGTACTAGGATCATATAACACTAAATAACTAAAGAACAGGCCAGGCACGGTGGCTCATGCCTGTAATCCCAGCACTTTGGGAGACAGAGACGGGTGGATCACCTGAGGAAAGGAGTTCAAGATCAGCCTTTTCGACATGGTGAAACCCTGTCTCTACTAAAAATACAAAAATTAGCTGGGTGTGATGGTGCGCGCCTGTAATCCCAGCTGCTTGGGAGGCGGAGGTAAGAGAATCGCTGGAACCCCGGAGGTGGAGGCTGCAGTAAGCTGAGATCGTGTCACTGTACTCCAGCCTGGGTGATAAGAATGAGACTCCATTTCAAAAAGTAAAACAAAAACGAAAACAATAAAAACTAAAGAACAGAGTTCACGGATCTTGCCAAAGCTTAGGCTATTAATCTGCCTTGCAGTTTGAGTTCCCTATTAAATAGCTCTACATAACATCATTATGTCTCTTGTTTTATAAGAGTACCAATAAATGAAATGTTACACATGTGAACATGTTTCACTTCATAGCCTACTAACAAGTACCTTTCATCTGCAAAATTATTCATTTTTTTCCTCAGGGTAGAACATTTCAAATTTTCTTTCTTTTTTCTTTTTTTTTCTTTGTAAATCTCCTTTAGCCAATTATAGTTAGAAATTAGAGCAGTATTTCTCGTGAGGGAAGAAATGCCATTTGAACAAACTTTTACTTATTCGTTCATTTATTTACTTATTTTTTGAGACAAGGTCTCACTCTGTCACCCAGGCTGGCTTGCAGTGACACAATCTTGACTCACTGCAGCCTCAACCTCCTGGGCTCAGGTAATCCTCCCGCCTCAGCCTCCCAAAGTAACTGGGACTACAGGCACGCAACACCACGCCCAGCTAGTGTTTTGTACTTCTTATACAAACAGGGTTTCTCCATGTTTCCCAGGCTGGTCTTGAACTCCTAGACTTAAGTGATCCATCTGTCTTGGCCTCCCAAAGTGTTGGGATTACAAGTTGCTAGCACCTAATGGGTAGAGAACAGGGATGCTGCCAAACAGTTTACAACATGCAAAATCTCCCAACAGCAAAGAATTATCTGGTCCAAAATGTCAGTAGTGCCAAGGTTAAGTAACCCTGTTTCAGATGAATCAGATATAAGCATATTAGTTGATAATATTTGAAGATATATAGTGCACACAGGATTTATTGCAGAGACCAAAACTAATCTTTATGGTGATTTGGATTTTCAAATATATTTTTTTCTGGCCATGTGCGGGGGCTCACGCCTGTAATCCCGACACTTTGGGAGGCTGAGGTGGGTGGATCACTTGAGGTCAGGAGTTCGAGATCAGGCTGGCCAAGAGGGTGAAACCCCATCTCTACTAAAAATGCAAAAATCAGCTGTGTGTGGTGGCACATGCCTGTAATCCCAGCTACTGGGGAGGATGAGGCAGGAGAGTTGCTTGAACCCATGAGGCGGAGGTTGCAGTGAGCCGAGATCGCACCATCACACTCCAGCCTGGGTGAATAAGTGAGATTCTGTCTCAAAAAAAAAAAAAAAAAATACATATATATATATATATATATGTATATTTTTTCTAGATAAATTCAATGTGATGTTCCCCTCTTGCAGCTTCAACCACACATTAGCTAATTTATGAAGGCATTTCTGTGGAAACAACTCCAAGCTAGTATCCTCCTGCCCTAGCAGGAAAAGGTCCTAGCCATTGTTTACAGATGACAACTATCTCTGCTAAGGCCTTCACTACTCTGCTAAGGATCTTGCAATGAGAAAGCAAGCCTAAACCCAAGGGTGAAAGCAATGATCACATGCTTGTAATTCCCGATGGCCAACTTTTAAGTAAAATCACTAATGGCTCCTATGTTTTGTTTTTTATTAGTATGTTGGTACTTGCAAAAATGTCAGTGAAACAGGTTTTTCTGGCAGAGGAGCACTGATTTTTTAAAATCTCTTTAATGGCCAATACTAATATAATTTATTTTTTAGCCCTAGAAAACAATCTCCTGGTCTAAGGTGCTTGAGTGGGCCAATCCAGCTATATCAAGAACCTTTGAGAACAAAATTCTCAAGCACTTCTGAGGGGAGTCGAATAGGTGAAAACCTTGGCTGGCCTGACCTTATCATGGAACCTGATGACTTTGATTCTGAAGACAAAGAGATATTAAGCTGGGATATTAATGATGTGAAGCTGCCACAGGTACGTACTTGCTATAAAAATCTGCCTTCAACATTGGGCTATGAAGTCTTGACTATTAACATGCGGAGACCTGGAAGGCAATTGGTGAGGGTTCGCTGGGTAAATTCCTCTCCCCCAGAGCTTCAGCTGGACAGCTGACTGAGGGATTTTAAGAAGAGACGGCAAGACCTATGATTGGAGTGGGTCTTTACTTACCAGACTCCCACACTTAGAGACTGATGCAAAGAAAATTCTACTTCCATTGTCTTTAAAAGTTGGCTTGACTCAGGTTGCCCTCGCTCTGGCTAGATGGTATGATAAAACCCATGATAATTTATTTGGCCATAAATTGACTTTTTTTTATGCGCAAGTCCTCATACAACCTTATTTGCTGTAGTGATAGTTTTAACTCAGATTCATGTCTAACTGGAATGTGCTGGAATCCAGATGATATTGTTCTCTTGTGGAATACAGCATGCTCTTCTTCCTTTTGTCTTTTTCCTCTTCTTTCTTTCTTCTCTTTCCTTCGCCTTGCCTTGCCTTCTTGTCTTCCTTCCTTCCTTCCTTCCTTCCTTTCTTTCTTTCTTTCTCTTTCTTTCTTTCTTTCTTTCTTTCTTTCTTTCTTTCTTTCTTTCTTTCTTTCTTTCTTTCTTTCTTTCTTTTCTTTCTTTCCTTCCTTCCTTCTTTCCTTCCTTCCTTCCTTTCTTTCTTTCCTTTTCTTTTCTTTTCTTTCTCCACTTTTTCTTTTTTTTTTTTTTGAGGCAGGGTCTGGCTCTGTGAACTAGGTTGGAGTGCAGTAATGCGATCTCAGCTCACTACAGCCTCAGCCTCCTGAGTTCAAGTGATTGTCCCACCTCAACCTCCCAAGTAGCTGGGACCATAGGCGCATGCCAACACACCTGGCTAATTTTTGTATTTTTTGTAGAGATGGGGTTTTGCCGTGTTGCCCAGGCTGGTCTTGAACTCCTGGGCTCAAGTGATCCCCCTGCCTATCTGGGACCACAGGCACACCAAGCTAATTTTTGTATTTGTGTGTGTGTGTATGTAGAGACAGGGCTTCGCTGTGTTGCCCAGGCTGGTCCCGAGCTCCTGGGCTCAAGCAATCCACTCGCTTCTGCCTCCCAAAGTGCTGGGATTACAGGCGTAAACAGCCTGGCCTCTTCTCCTCCTATTTTGTAAATACCATACATGCACTGAAAATAGAGAGACTTCATTTCACATTTTATTTGGCAACTGACTTTTTTTTTTTTTAAGATGGGATTTGCCTGGTCTCCCGGGCTGGAATGCAGTGGTACCATCATAGCTCACTGCAGTTTCAATCTCCTGGGCTCAAGTGATCCTCCTGCGTCAGCCTCCTGAGAAGCTGAGACCACAGGCATGTGCCATCACTCCTGGCTAATTGAAAAAAAAAATGTTTTTTGAGAGGAGGGTTTCACAATGCTGCCCAGGTTGGTCTCAAACTACTGGCCTCGAACAACCCTTCTGTCTCAGCTTCTCAAGTAGCTGGAATTATAGGCACACATTACTTGTTTAATACTGATTTTCCATATGTATCATTGTTTACTTCCTTGGCTTCCTTTATTAACATTTAAGATATTTTCACTAGAACTTGTTTGAAAAGGTGACTAGACCAGTACCAAGTCATGAAAAAGTCAGTCCCATCTGCCTGATTCTGGGTGATAAGGAATCTGAGTTATCAGAAGCAGAGGAGAGGGAATAGAGATTCCCCTATCTTTGTAACTGATCCAGAATTTCTAACGAAGACTTCCTTTTGTTTCTCTTTATGCTTTTTCTTAACTTCCAACCTCACCCCCTCTACCCCTCCCACCACCCCCGACCCCACATCTATATCCTCTATTGGTAGGTCTTGGGACAGATCTGGAGAACAAAAGTGTGCCCCACTTTCCATCCATGGTTCTAGAAACCACAGTTGAATCATATGCAAATATCTATTTTAGGGATTTGTGTTTGTTGTTGCTCTTAATTAGTATTACAATTATTGTCACTGTTGTGGAGATACTTTAAAGTAAACCTTAATTGCTCTTGGCTCCAGGACCCATATTTTCACCTATTTCTAACTTCATGATTGCAACACCCAAATAGAAGTTGGACAGACACGAAATCAAGAGTTGAAGTAAACAGATACATAGAAGACTTTACAGTGTCACATTCTATAGCAAGAGTTTTAGTGAGTTTGAGAACCCCATGAAATGGTGGGTGACACCGTGTCTTAACAGGCATTTTTTTCTGGGACACAATTCCTCATCAGATCCATAAAAAAGAGATGAAGACCTCTTTCCTATAGGGAAACCTGAGGCTCATAAAAGTTCATGTTCCAACATGAATTTCCAAAAATGAAAGTATTTGCAGCTACCTAGGACATTAAACTGAGAAATTTATAGCAAAAACTGCACATTTGGTTTTAGAAATGTATTTATAGTTCATTAAAAAGTACTAAGATTGCTCATGGAAATAGCTAAGTGTCTTCCAATTTGTTAAATATGTCAGGGAAATGATTAAAAATGCAAATATTCCTTAGTATTTTCTGAGTAGAGAGAATACCATCCTCATCTGGGTTTATGCTAGCTTTATCATAGGACCAAGAAACACTTGAGCTCTTGGAAAGATTTCCAGGCATTAGATTTTATATTGTGTGAGCATATCTGGAGACAGAGGGGTATACTATGAAAAGTACAGGACTTGGAGACAAATGCCCTAGATTTGAATTCTAGCTCCACCTCCTTTTTTTTTTTTTTTGTAGAGCCTTGAGTTGTTTACCTTTTCTGAAACTTCCTTTCCTCTCTGAAAATGAGGGGGTTGCGCCAAATGGTCTGGTATGTACCTATTAGTTCTAATAGTCTAGAATTCTAGAAATGTCAGCCTTGTGCCTAGCACAGTGCCTGACGTGTATGAAACAACAAATGTTGAATATGGAATTCGTTAATAAGTGGCTCCATTGTTTAGAATCTGTGTGAGACTGGAGAAATTGATTTTCTTAAGTCTTAGCTACCTCCTGTAGAATGAAAATAGTAATTCTCCACATATCCTGCCTCAGTCTCTAAGATGTTTAGAATACTGTTCCCTAAATATATTCTGTAGAGTACAAGTTACATGGAATTTTAATAGGTACTGTGAAGAAAGAAAAAGAGCAATACGAGGTTCAACAAGGTTAACCAGATTTCTTGACTGCAGGCATGGAGTCTTTCTCACCATCCTGTGCATTGGTGGGTCTCCCAAGGAGGCTGTGTTAGGCAGTGTAAACCCAACTTATTTTTGACCATGAAATGTTTTTCCTGAAGCCCTTCAGGAGTTGATGTTCCCCAGACTACATATTTGGCATTTAACAAATGTGGTTTAAAGGATCAAATGTAATGGCTTATTATGATTATAAATTTTTCTAATTCCACTCTCTGCCCCATCGATCCAAATCATTTATAATTTATATTTCATAATTTTATATTCTTGCCAGAATTATTAGTTATAAAACACGTAGGAGAATTCCTTTTCTGTTTATCCTTTCACATGCTTCAAGTTTCAAGTTTCTTTTCCTTCCTTCCTTCCTTCCTTCCTTCCTTCCTTCCTTCCTTCCTTCCTTCCTTCCTTCCTTCCTTCCTTCCTTCCTTCTCTTTCTTCCTTTCTTTGTTTCAGACGGAGTCTCATTCTGTTGCCCAGGCTAGAGTGCAGTGGCGCTGTCTAGGCTCCCTGCAAGCTCCACCTCCCGGGTTCAGGCCATTCTCCTGCCTCAGCCTCACAAGTAGCTGGGACTACAGGCGCCTGACACCACGCCAGGCTAATTTTTTGTATTTTTAGTAGAGACAGGGTTTCACCATGTTAGCCAGGATGGTCTCAGTCTCCTGACCTCCTGATCCACCCACCTCGGCCTCCCAAAGTGCTGGGATTACAGGCGTGAGCCACCGCGCCTGGCCTTTCAAGTTTCAAAATGATTACCAGTTGCATCTTCTGATCTGAGAAACTCCATGTGTCTTTAAATAGTTCAGATACATCAAGGTTTATGGGTTAATTTTGACAACAGTGAGCAGTAATATCCTCACTAAGATATCAGACGTTTTTGAGAAACTGAAATGTGGGAGACACTGCAGTAGGCTCAGGGATACTGGGGCCATTAAGCTACGTTAACTTCCTTGGAAATGCTCATGATCTTCTGGGCTAGTGGAACAAGATTACTGCTTAAATAGAGAATCAATGCCTTGTAGAAAAATGCTAGAGGAGTTTGAAAGAAGGAGTGTATAATTCAACATGACCCTGGCATGGGGAACAAGGCCAGAAGAGTTTGTGTAAGGTTAGAGAAAAAAAAAATTAAATCAATCATCTATTACTTATGTCATTAACTACAACAACAGTCTGAATTCAGCAACAGTCTGAATTTAGGAAACATGCTGGCCTGGACAACAGGAAGGAAACATAATGTAATGAGTTGCATTACTCTCTGCTTGATACTACACAAGCCATTTCCATATAACCATCCTGGCAGGGGCGTTGACTTTCAAGGTCCTTGTAGGGAACCAGGGTCTGAAGACTCAAATGTTCACATTTTAGAGAGTTGTGCACAAGTGTTCAGCATGAAGATTTTGGGGACTACTGGTGGTTTGGAAGCAGGCCATCCTAAGAGGACTCTATTGTTTTACAGGTAGTAGAAAGCCGTTAATCTTGGGCTGGAAAATGTCAAGATCAGATCCTAGGGCTTAGAAAGTCCTCAATTCTTCCAGCTTCACTTGTCCTTAGTAAATCTTTCCTCTCTTGTATTTGTTTCCTGTGTGTTGCCTCCTTTATGTTGTGTGTGTCTTTACAAATCCTCATTTCACTTTTTTCTGGCCATTCCTCCATTTTGATTCCATTTCTCTTCAATATAACCTGTGGGAAACCAGCCCAGAAATGCAGGCACTTGACTTAAATTTTTTTTTTTTTTCTTGGAGACAAGAGTCTCTCTTTTGCCTGGGCTGGAGTGTGGAGTGGTGTGATCTTGGCACACTGCAACCTATCTGTCTCCCGGGTTCAAGCAA